TAATTTAGTGACCTTGTCTCAAAAAAAAAAAAAAAAAAAGTAAAAAAGGTGTGGGGATGTAGCTCATGGCAAAGGCCCTGGATTTAACCCCCAGAACCATAAATAAATCAACTTATGAATAGGTACATGTGTATACCCACACAATGGAATACTATCCGGCCACGAAAAGGAATGAACACGTGCTAAACACAACATGTCTGAGAACACGCTAGTGAAAGCAGCTGGCACACAAGTCAGACTTGGGTGTTTCCAACGACAAGAAGATGAGCTCTCTGGGCGGATTTGCAGGGACAACAAATAGGCCGGTGGTGCAGGCAGAGGGGATGAGAGAGACCAAAGAGGCAGCCACGGGGCGTGGAGCCTCCTTTTAGGGTGATGTGAAACCTGTGGAACTAGACAGAGGGCAAAGTTTTTGCTCAATTGTACTTTAAATTGGTTATAGTGGTCAATTTAATGTTACATGTATTTGATCACCATAAAAAGAAACCCAAAGCCAGGTGTGCAGGCACCTGGTAATCCTAGCACTGTGGGAGGCTGAGACAGGAGGATCACAAGATCAAACCCAGCCTGTGCAACTTAGCCATATAGAGAAACCCTAGGACTATCGGCCCGTGCCCTTCAGACAAAGCTGTACTGGTGACCAGTGCCCAGTGTGCCCTCCCAGCTTCTTGGCTCATTTCTGGTACTTGCATGGTCCCTGAAGATTTTGAATTTTTAGTCCCTGATTAAGCCATATTTTTTTCTCAAAACAGTTTTTTTGTGTTTTTTTTTTTTTTTTTTTTTTTTGAGACAGGGTCTTGCTATGTATCCCAGGCTGGCCTGGAACTAACTCATGGTGATCCTCCTGCCTCAGCCTCCAGAGTGCTGGGATGACAGGCCTGTGCCATAACGTCCAACTCAAATATTCTTTGTAAATCTGGTATGTCGCTTGTTGTCAATTCCTGTCTTTGCTTCCTTCTGTCTTTCTTTCTTTCCACAAGGCCAGCTGTGTTAGGTCCTCTCTGCTGATGCTGCTGTGGGATGTGCCTGAGGTGTGGGATGTGCTCAAGGTTCTGTCTCTGTTCCATCTGCTCTCCCTCAGGGTGTCGTATTTCCTTGTGACGCATCTAGCTCTCTTGGACTGTGCCGGACACTGTATTTTAAGATTTATTTATAGGGATAATGTGAGGCTTCCCTACCAAGATGATTTACATTCGCCTCTCCAGGCTCCCGAGGTTCCTGCCCATCTACATCCACCTTCATCCAAACTCAGGGCTGCAGTTCCCTGACCACGCCGCCCGGTCTGCTCCGGGTGGAGCCTGGGTGTGCTGCTGCTGGTCACAGCTTCCGCTTCTTCGTGTTTATTTACTTTGGTTTTTTGAGACAATGTTGTCTCACTATGCAGTTCAGGCTGGCCTTGAACTCAGTGTGTAGCCCAGGCTGGTCTCAAACTTGTGTGATCCTCCTGCCTCAGCCTCCCGGGTGCTGGGATTACAGGGTGTGCACCACCATGCCTGGCAGTTGCACTTCGTGTTGAGTTTGAGGTCTCCTGTGGTGGGAGAACTGATGCTGGGTGTTGAACATTTCCTCACCCAGGGGGCCTGGCTCCGGGCTCCGTTATGGGGAAGATCTCCCACTGGACTTTAATTTTCTGGCCTCTTCCCCCACAAAACTACTCAGAGTAAAGTTCAGATCTGCTGAGGTTGGTGAACATCTGCAGGGTTGATGTGGGTTCCTTGCTGTGTATCTCTCAAGCATTTCAAGTTTTTCATTTTGTTTTGTTTTGCTTTAAAGGCAAGGTCTCGCGATGTAGTCCAGACTGGCACTGAACTCACTATGTAACCCAGGTTTGCCTTGAACTCCCATCCTCCTGCCTCAGTCTCCCAAATCCTAAGATTACGGATAGCACTATGCCCAGCTCTTCCCCCTCTACATAGCCCTCCCTGGCCACCTCCTCTGAATTCGGGGCCCTGCTATGTCCATCTCCTAGGACCCAGATGTCCCTTACGCCTCTGGAGCCCATGGCACCTGGTGACACACACTAACCGATGTCACTAAACAGCCCTCTGCTTGCTCTGCGTGCAGTATCTGCACCGACGGACCACGCGTCCCCTCTGATATGCTGCGACCGCCATCAGGGAGAACTGCTCAGTTCTTTCCCATGGGGGTGACTTGGGCCCGGCTGCTCCTGGTGACACCGCGATTCCAAACTCTGAAGAGGGGCAGCGATGCCAACCCTTTGTCTGTGGCCGGTGAGCGCAGTCTCGTGGGTGCTTGGCTCCTTGCCTGGAGGCAGCCTCTGTGCCCTCGGCAGGCCCAGAAACAAGGGGCTGAGGTCGCCGCAGTGCCACGTAACCATCCCAAGAGCATGGGAGGAGCTGCGCGGACAGGGCTAGGCAGGGGCTCCACGGCCAAGCTGCGCCCAGCCCATCTTCCCTTTTCTTTCCCTCTCCTCATCCCTTTTGCTAAGCCAGCAAAGCCTGGCTGCAACACAGGAGGAAGAATCAACGAGCCACCGTCCCCAGGGGCCCGTATCTGTTTGTCAGAGGCACCTGTGAAAGAGCCGCCTGCGGGGACAGCGGCCGAATCCCTGAGGGGCTCATGCTTGCTGCAAACACGTGTGTCCAGGGCGGCGACGGCTGGGGACACAGGTGTTTCTGAGATCGGCTTCCTGTTACCTGGAAGCCCAGGGAGGAGAGGCCAGGTAGGTGCAGAATGGGCGTGAGGGGAAAGGGATGGCAGGCGTTGATGCTTCAGAAGCACAGTGTGCAAGTGCTTGGGGGACTAAGAAGGCTGAAGCAGGAGGGTTGCAGGGTCAAGGCCAATCTGGGAAACTTGGTGAGATCGTGTCAAAATTAAATAACAAGAAAGGTCTGGGGATGTGGCTCAGAACTCCCTGGGTTCAATCCCCAATACCAAAAATAAGGAAGAAAGGTATATATATTTTTTTTAACTTTTTTTTTTTTTTGGTAATGGGGATCAAATTTGGAACCTCATGCTTGCAAGGCAGGCAGCGGATATATATTTTATTTTGTTTGTATTTTTGAGGCAGAGTCTTGCTCTATAGTTCAGGCTGGTCCTGACCTCATTGTGTAGCCCAGGCTGGCCTTAAATTTGAGGTGAGACTCCCACCACAGCCTCCTGAGAGCCGAGATTACAGTCGTGACACCACGCCCGGCTCTGTCCTATACCTGAGACCTTGACAGTGTATGTTTTGTTTTTGTTTTTTGAGGAGACTATGTAGCCCAGGCTGGTCTCGAACTCACAGCGATCTTCCTGACTCAGTGCTAGGATTACAGGCGTGTGTCACCACGCCCAGTCGACAGTGTTTGAATAGTACAGGGCATGGGTTCTGTACAGATGCTGGATGAATATGTGCGGTACAGCAGGGATGCGGGTTACAGCCTGGGGAACAAAGCCTTGTCTTGCATAGTCTGCAAGCTAAGAAGGGTTCAAGTGATTTTAAAAAGTCAAAAGACAGCCAAGTGTGGTGGCGCACACCTGTACTATCAACACGTGGGTGGCCGAGGCAGGAGGATCGCCATGAGTTTCAGGCCAGCCTGGGCTACAGGGTGAGACCCTGTCTCAAAAAACAAGTGAAAAAGTCAAGAGAATAATACCTCATGATGAGTGCAAACCATCATGACAACCACATTTCAGTGGCCGCAAGCAAAGCTGGACTGGAGCTCAGCCACGGTTTCTCTTTTCGTAGAATCCAGGGCGGTGTTTGCAGTCCAGGGCTGAAGACCCATGACTCGGCCTTACCAGCCTTAATATTTACTCCCCGGCCCTGGGAGGACCTGGCTTTCTCTTCCATTCAAAAACCAAGTCAGCTATTAAAGGGCACTGAAGTTTCAAATCTACTCATTCAGTCATTCTGCAAACACTGTGGAGGCTCACCTGACTGACACAGCCCCTGCTGTGGGCAGGTGTGAGGGCCAAAGCCGGGGCTGAGGGAGGCTCGTCTGCACGGTTCCCCACATTAGGAGTCCACTGTGCCAGGGATGCACTGCTGTCTCTTCTTCACAACCCCTTCACAAGTTGTTCCAGGAGGAAAAGGAGGATAAAGGCTCAGCCACATCCCAAGCAGGAGCAGGGCTGTGGCAGGCTGGCCTTGAATTCGTGGCAATCCTCCTGCCTCAGCCTCCTGATTGCCGGGATCCCAGGCATGCACACTGCGTCCTGCTTTGTCCCTGCGTCTCCAAGCATAAACTCTGTCTTCTCCTCTTGGTCCTTCCTTTCTGCCCTCACAGCTTTACCATCCCGGCTGCTGAGGCGCCTGTGCTCTCTGCTGACCCCATCCCATCCTGGACCAGAGCACTGACGTCCGACCTCATCCGTCATCCTATCTGGGTGTCACAGGCTGAGGCTGGGCCTGGTCCCAGCAGGGGTGCAGGACATGCAGGGCCCTTGTCTTGCAGGGGAGCAACACACGGCCTGCAGGAGGGGGCCTCCCATAGGGGCGATGGCTGCCCTGGAGAAGGACGGAATCGAAAGGCGCCCCTGTTCATGTCCCGCTTCTGTCTAATTCTGTTATTTTCTTTTTCTTTCTGGTACCAGGATCGAACTTGGGACCTTGTTCTTGCGATGCAGGCGGTAGCACCACTGAGCTAAATCCCAGCCCAAATTCTGTCTTCTGAAGAGAACGAGTCATGGGAGAGCACTGCTCCTAAAATTTCCCAGGAACTTTCTGTCTGCCACTACATCTCCTAGGCCCCTCGCAGCTGCAAAATTGATTCATAAAGTTTGTTTTTCTTTGTGTGCTTTTTAACAAAGAATGAAGTGTAAACTAGGTTGTGAAGCACTGGCGACACGCTCCGACAAGCGGCTGCCTGCCTGAGGTCGCAGTGACACGGCCCGGCCTGGGTGGCTGGTTCGGCTCTGTGTTCTAGAATGTTCTGAAGACACTGGCTGAGCCAAGTTGCCAGGCAGACACCTCGCAGTGGGAGGGCCGGGTGCATAAAGAAGGATGTTGCTGCCTCCCTTCCTCTCTCGCAGCTCCACTGTGGGCACAGCCCCTTTCTGTGGTCAGGGACACCATGGCACGGCAGCCCTCCCTGAGGAGGCCCCGTTGGCCTGGGCGAGGGGGCAGAGCTGGGCACGTTTGCATGGAGCGTCCTCAGAACTCACGACAAAACTCTGAAGTCAGACTTCGCCAAGTGTGCTGGCACATGCATTTGAGAAGCTGAGGCAGGAGGATCGCCACGAGTTTGAGGGCACCCTGGGCTCCTTAGTGAGTTCAAGGCCAGTGTGACTTACATAAGGAAACTATCTCAAAAATAAAGAAATAAACACCCACCATAAACTTGGTGGCAATGCTCCCTAAATGCCCAGAGCTGGGAAACAAGCCCCCGTTTTTACCCACTGTATGTTTTGAGGCCCAGCAGGGTGAGGTGGCAGCACTGGCCAGTGTGGGGCACAAGGGGAGGTGTGGGCCTCCTTCCAGGCACAGAGGCTGTGTGTGGCCCAGCTGTGCCTGCCTTCCCCATGGCAGTTGTGCCCAGGCCATGCATGGCCAGTGGTGCTTGTCGTACCGGCCTCACGCAGCCACTGGGTGCTCCGCTGAGCAGAAGCGAGGTCAGGATCCAGGAGCCCGGGGCACAGGGCGCCCACCCCAGCCTCCCCACAGGAAGGGCCGCTTACTGCGAGGGCTGCAGCGGGCACCCCCAGCTGGCACAGGATGGCCCGGGCACCCCCTGCTTCACACCCAGGAGCACCCCACTCTGCCAGCTCCGTGGCTTCCTGAAATCTGCTTTTAATATCTATAGTTGCCAGGATTCAAGCAGGGCCAGGAGCACGGAGAGCGCGGCCTTTGGAAACGCGCACACAGAGGCCTTTGTGCCCCAAATGCTGCCCCTGACCTTACTGGTCATCCTCCCCGGGGGCTTCCGAGATGGTTAGGCCAAGAATTTCACTCGCAAATATTTCCGCAGTGATTTCGTCTGGAAGTTCCTCTTCGAGGCAGATTTTTGAACCTAGCCAAACAAGGAAAAAAAACAAGTGTCTTCCCAGTGATTAGGTTTTTAACGCAGAGAATTTTCTAAAAACACAAGGAAATGACGCTAAACAAAAGGGAGAGCGCTCTGTGCTATGCTTTGCTTTTTTTTTTTTTTTTTTTTTTT